GCTGAATCAAATCCAACAATACCTGGTGCTACATTAAAAGTACGTAAATTTTTTTAAGGTAGTATGTGACTACTAAATTATTCTATAACTTTAGTAAGAAAAAAATTCATAACTATTAACATAAAATTATTATTTTTATTTGCAGGGAGCAATAGGTGCACTCGATGGGACATTAGTACATGCAGTTATTCCCGCTAATCAATAAATTATTTACAGAGGAAGAGGAAAGGGTAAATGTTATCAGAATATTTTAGCTATATGTGATTTTTAACATGATCTTCACTTATGTTTATGCTGGATGGGAAAGGGTAGCACATGATGCACGTGTTCTAACAGAGATCACATCTAATCCAGATAATGGCTTTCCATTTCCTCCTTCTAGTAAGTGATACAACTTTTTAAACTATTCTGAAATAATAAGTTAGATGTTTATTATATTCATTTAACTTTTTCTTTTGATGACAGATAAGTACTATTTATGTGATGCGGCGTATCCTAATACTCGAGGATTTCTAGCACCATATCATAATATTCGATATTGGTTAGGAGATTATCATCGTAGACGGGCCATAAATAAGGAGGAAAAGTTTAACCATGCTCATGCACGACTCAGAAATGTTATTGAACGTGCTTATGGAGTTTTAAAAGCAAGATTCCCAATATTGGACAAGATGGCTCCATATTCTATTGATGTCCAAAGAGATGTTGTTATTGCATGTTTTGCAGTTCATAATTTTATCAGAAAAGAGCGACTAAATGATGACTTGTTTAATCAATATGATTTGCCTCAAGTAATATTTGAGGAAGAAGGAGAACACGAACAAGTATTGGATGAAACAAATGGACCTAGCTGGACAACTGAAGATTCTCAATTTATGAACAATATGCGTGAAGAAATTGCACTTCAGCTAATGCAAGGAAGAGGAAATGCTTGATAGTTTTATATTTTTGTTATTAGAAATATGTTTTTAATGTGTGAACATTAAAATTTGAAATAATGTTAATTAACTATTTTATTTGAATTTTATATATGTTTAAATATAGATAAATTGCACATATTCAGATACTAAAAACAAACAGTCTTAATCATTCAGTGTTCTGATTCAGAGACAGCATATTAATTATTCCGTTGTGTATTCAGATTCAGACGTCTGAATCTTAATACACTTTTTCATATTCAGACGTGTGTTCAGATTCAGACCTCTTAATCTTAATAAAAACAAATGAGGCCTTAATCTATCTTGACTTGCATTGGTCTATGTGTATGTTGACTATATTGGTCTTAGTGTGGGTAGTCTTCTATGCTTCTAGGGAATATAATTCTCATTTATTGAAGTCTTGACTAGCTCCTTCTTTACTACTCTCTCCGGTCCAAAATAAGTAATTTTTTGGATGTTTTCACACAGATTAAGAAATTCACCTTTTAGCATTAATTAGCAATAGAATTGACCATATTAACCTTTACTATCTCACATAAACACTCCTAACACATATTCCAACACTATTTACTTCAAGGACAATGCAGGAAAAAAATAATTAATTCATTCTTGAAATCTGAAAAAATCACTTATTTTGGACCACAAGAAAAAGGCCAAAAAATCACTTATTTTGGACCGGAGGGAGTACTATATAAAGGGGTGCTTGTCTTCCATTGTAAAACATTATTGAAGATTAATATTATTATTATTGTGAGTTCTTTTGAACCTTTGTGAACTTTACTTTGAAGATTTATCTTGCAACCCTAACTAGTTCATAGCTTAAGGTAGTAAGATAATTTTTTTTTCTTGTGATATCTTTGGTTTCTTTTGATATTCTTCGAAGGCGACTAGTTTCTTTTACTAGTTGTTGTCGTAAGTTATTCAAACTAGAAGTCAAGATCCGAATCTAGTTCTTGATTAGTTTATCTCTAGTGAAGGCAATTGGTTTCATAACCAACTTGTTGTCATTAGGATCTTGTCAAAAAGCTAGATTAACATAATCTCGGGGTTATTGGACCTTTCCTTGAATTTCGACATATCTAGTTTATTTTTCTTGTTCCGCTTGCATTTCTTTACTACTTCCGCATTTCATCAACTTATTTTCTTCAAGTTCTTGGATCTCCCAACCTTTGTGTTATCAATTTGGAACTCCTTTTTACCTGTTGCCCCCTTCCCTCCCGGTTTATTATGCCTGGGGAGTGATCAAAGAGCCCTGGTTGCAAGTAATGGACTTCTGATGCTAGCAGCTTTGTCATCCATTGAAAATTGGTGAGTACTCTGTCTATTCTGCTCATTACTCTGTCTCCACCTGGATGTTTGTTGCTCCAAGTATAAAAGGCTCCTGAAGATCTCATATCTTGCATAGAGCATTCCTCCATGCATTTTTTAAAATCTTTGATTTCTGCTATAGGAACCCTGCTTCCCATTCTTTCTTCAGTACTCAAAATGCAGTTGAAGTCCCCCATTATTGCCCAAGGCCCTTTGTTCTGCTGGTGTATACTTTTGATATCCTCCCACAATTGCCTTCTCATACTTTGGTTGTTAAACCCATACACTATTGTTACATTGAACTTGTTCCCTGTCCCTTTATGATTGACCATAAAGTGAATAAATTGCTCAGTTACATTTGTTATATTGACATCATATACTCCTGGTTCCCATACAATCCAAATCCTTCCTGCCGGATGTTTTACTAAATTTGTAGTAAAAGACCACCCCCTACATAGATTAAGAGCAGCTTGTTGTGCTTTAGCTCTCTTAATCTTAGTTTCCAGAAGACCAAACAGGCCAACTTTTTGATTGTTCATAAACAAATTCATTTCATTCTGTTTATGTGGCCTATTCAATCCCCTGGTGTTCCAGAAGCCTATTCAATCCATTGGATGAGGGCTTGCCCCCATCCTGCCCATTTCCTAGGGCCATTTCACTCCCTTTCCCCTTTTTTGTCCTGTTCTCCACCACCTTCCCATTTTCCTCTTCTGTTTTCTCCTGTTGATGGTCTCCTAATGTTGCAAAAGAGTTCCCAATTCTAATATTTTCCTGTTGTTTTCCTTCCCCTGCTTTCCCTCTTACTACATTCTTCCAATTTCTGGATGTGGTTGCCACTTTATTTGCAATGGGTACTACCTCAGTCCCCTTATTACCTTTGCTTATTGGCCCACTCTCATGTTGCATTTGTCCCTGTTCCCCTTTGTTCTGCACATTTGTAGCTTTCTTTTCCACTTGAGTCTGATTCTGTACTGCATTTGGCTCTTTTAGTTCTTGCTTGTTTGTTGCTTTTCTTTCTCTTCTTTTATAAACCTCCTACATTCATTTATTTCATGCCTAAAATTCTTGCACTTTCCACATAGAGTAGGTTTCCATTCATAGAAAACCTCCTGCTCCACTATTCTGCCCTTCTCATCCTCAAACATTATTGTATTTGGATATTTCTGATGAGGCTTAACCTCAACCAGAACTCTGGCATATATCAGCCTCTCTTTTTGTGTTGTAGCTTGATCTGCCTTTAATGGTTTCCCTACAAGTCCAGCCAGTTTTGTGAGAGCAGTTTGTCCCCAGTACTTTATATCCAGTCCAATAAATCTAATCCACATTGGGATCAAATCCACCGACTCCTTTTTCAAATCCATGTCTGGATTCCAAGGTTTAACCACCACTGGCTTTCTGTCGAACATCTGGACTCCATCTTCAATTACTTTGATTTTGCTTTCAAAGCTATAGAATCTCACCATAAACACTCCTCTATTAACATGTGCTATTATGTCTATACCAAGCGATCCCCATATGCTTTGGAAGTAACCTTCCATCACTGATTGTGAGAAATCGAGCTCCTCCTTTATGTCTTCCATAGTTATCTTCACATTCGAATTGTCCTAACTTTGTGGTGTTAAGTCCAGTCCTTCAGTTATGGGGCTTGCAACAACTTTGCTCCATGACTTAGGGCTCATTTCTCTTGCTTCCTTTTTCTCCATCAGTTTCTCTTCAGCCTCCACCTTTTCTGCCCATGATTTACGCTCCTCATCCTGCTTTTTACCTCCATTCCTGTTAATTGTTGTTCGATTTCCAGTTACTTCACTATCCACAATTGATTGACTCAAATCTAGTGGTCGTATCCCTTGCAATACATTGATGCTACGAGTTCTCTTTGCGTCTGTTGATTGTGGAATTCCTCTTGTTACATTCACGTTGCTCAAGTTTGATCCTTGCATGTTCGATCCTCCCCCTCAAGCCTTCGATTTCCTCATCATCTGAGAAGAAACTTCATTCTAGAGAGAAAGTTTTGTAACAACGCCTGAATCGTGACTTGGTATTCCAGAGAGAAACTTTGTAGTATTATAATATGGAATTCTGAACACCGTGATATTATGGCTGAAATGAGTATATAGAAAAGCATAAACCAGTAGACACAATAAAAATATAAAACCCCCAGGTAAAAACAGAAATTTAAAAGCAATTCTACCAATAATCCTTACTTCCACATCAATTGTTCACTAATAATCTAAATAACGATTTTTCAGTAAACAACGACAAAAAAAAGATATCAAAAAATAGCATTCCAATTACATAGGACTTAGAAACACTAGAGAAAGAGGTATATAAAGGCTTAAGAGAAGTAGGTATGATAAGAAAGTAATAATCAAGAGAGGTTGTTGTATTGCTTAAAAGTGTTACAATATATGATAACTTACCCGTAAGATGAAAATCGTTAATATTTTTTATATATACCCACTAAGAGACTGGAAAAGCTATTATCACACATTTGCTATACATCTAAGTTTTTGTTTATTAACACTGTTCATTCAACCAACACTACCGTGGAGATCATGGTTCCTCGAGATGTTCTTAACTATGGATATGCGAGAATGGAAGCACAGGTATGTTAGCACATACCTTTTCCTTTTATTAATTGGTGTAGCGGGAAGACACAAGATAATTCAAAATTGTACCTCGACTTCTTAGTTTAAGAACTTGAGAAAGTAATCAAAAGATGGATTATGTTAAACTCCTTTTTCTAGCCTTGCTCAAATTCGAACAGGGAGTCTAAATGCTGAAGAAAAATAGAGGTAGACGTCTCGGGATACAACTGAGGATCAAACTCCAGTTGGCTTTCAAGATCGGCAGGCAACATGAGATTTTCTGAAATAGAACTTCTAATATACCTGACTATGCTTGTGTGATTTAGTTTAAGATTATTTTAGCTCAAATTTCTCAATTGGCAAATCTCCTTTTGTTCATGCTATATTTTCATTACTAGAATGCTTTCGTTTCCTTTCACCAATAATTTTATTTTGAAATAAAGACAGTTATCAACTTTTGGCTGTAAGGGTTCTTGTGATGAACTTAATGAGGAAGATGCCGAGACTAATGAAATATTTTTACTTTTTTGAGAAGCCATTAAGCTAGGTCACGATTCATTTGGATATATAATCTATTACAACCTATATTCTACTTTGTAATAGGCATAGTTTGGCCTTTAAAGTTAGAAAAATTAGAATTGAAATTAAGTTCAACTCATTCGACATTGCATCCAATAAGGCCAAATTAAATCCTTAAAGCTCGATAAAGTCAGTCATTCTCATCAGACTATAGGAAAAATGTCGTGATAATATGTGCTCATATTTCTTATTGGTAAAGAGCACTACTTCTGCTACTTTATAAAATAATACATGAAGTCATTGGTCTTTGCTGGCACCTAGAATTTGGGAGGCCCTCTGATTTACTCCTGATATCACAATGTAGTATGTTGTTTACTATGTGTCAAAATAGACACATCTCTGCTAAAATGTGAAATTGCAGAATGCTTTTCTAAAACACTTAAACTTGTCGATTTTAAAATAAATAATTTGAGCAAGCAACTCCTATTATATTTTTAAAACCACAGGATTTCAGCTGATGTAAGCTCGATTATGGTTTCAGGCAATCATTTTGCTATTTGGGATGTATTCTTGATTTTCCTTTCCTAACACCGCATTACTACTGGAAGTAATAGTTTTCATTGCTTCTCTTCCCTATTTTTCTGCGAGTAGGAGTTCTACTAATAATAATATTGTTACAGCCGATATTTCTGTGCAAAATGTTTGGTGTGGACAAAGATCACTTGATTTAGCCAATGTCTTTGCCTACAGCAATATTTGAAGAGAGGATTCTGCAGCAGCCAAGTTCCCTGTCAGATAGGATAATATGCCGTACAACCTTCCTGAATATTTATACTAATACTGAAATTCATATATGAAATTATGATTTCAGAATTATTTTATTTTTTTGAAATTTTAGTGATTTTCCACATCTATATATATGTTTTGTGTCAAAAATGCTTGTTAAGTTAAACGTGTTGGTTGCATGCTATATCTGCCACCACATGCATTCATGTTCGTGAAAAATGAAAACAGACTTGTACCATTACCTGAGACATGCGAGGTCTGGCGTGCGGATCCCGTCGTATGCACAAAGATGCAGCATACATGCAGTATATTTCATGTTCGGAGTAGCAGTTTTCTAGCCGGGGATCTATTAGCTCATCAACTGCACATTCTTCAAATAATGGACGCGCCTCACAAATTAATTACAATATCAGCTACACATGAAAGGGGAGGACGCTCTCCTTTATCTCAAAATGCATAATGACAAACAGAAGAAGTTTTTCTGCAAATGAGATGTCATCAAATAGAAAGTGAAATAATCAAGCAGAAAATAATAATTAGCAGGTAAAGATGGAAGTAAAGGCTGAAAATAAATGGAACCTCTAATAATTTTAGTAAGAGGAATGAATTTAATACCTCTAAGATAAACCACTCAAATTCTCTTTGATTGAACCTAGTAAAAGATTCTGCATCGATTAGTTTTTTCCCCTTCTTTTCATATAATAAACGAGGGAAACAACATCTCTATCTTATCAAGTTAGGGGTATAATCTGTATACACACTACCCTATCCAGACCTCACTTGTAGGATTATACACGGTTTGTTGTTGTTGTTGTTGATAAAATAAAATAGCATCAATTAGGAAATATATGCTTGACAAATCCATGAATATATTGCAACTATTTCTAGCCGATTAACCTATTATGCCAAAATACATAACTTATAAAACTCGTTCCATGAGAATGTTTGATATTTGTTCTATAATTTTCCCCTTTCCCTGCTTTTTCTTTCTCAATTCGAATCTATCATTAAAAATAAAATTATCATCTACAAGCATCTTACTAATTATGACATGTCTAAATGCATATAATGTAAATGAGGATACATATGAGACATGTATTTGTTGTCAAATAGTCAGAACAATTACAACTAATAGTGAATTAAAATGTGCTCTCATACATCTTGAGAGCACACTATAAGATATCACAACTTACATGAATAATTTTTAACATCAGAAAGCACCGTTCCATATCAACATCACGTATTTAAGGAACCAAATCTGGATGCACATGCTAATATTTGCACTACTCTGTGAATTTTCCCTTTTTTTAATACTTTTACCTCCCAGTAAGTCTGCATAATGTAAATTTTAAAATCTTGATGTTAACCCATTAACATTTTTCATAAACCCATTAAATATAACCCATTAACAAAATTGAGAAAATCGACACAACTTAACCAAATCAACCAATTGTGCATAAAAGAAACTGAATTTACTTGATATGAAATCAGTGAAAATTCAGGTTTTAGAAATAAAAACAACGACAAATTCAATTGCAAAAGGCAAAAGCACAGAGGGACGGAGAGATAAATACCAGCTACTTGATAAGTGAAAGATCTAATCTATAAGTGGGAGGAAGCAGAAAATGATCTTCTCTATCGCTGGAGAAGAAAGCCAAATTACCATGAGAGGAAAATAGAAACAAAACTGGAAAAATAATATTGTGGGCTTTAGGGAAAGTGGAGGGGCATGATTCTAACAAGAGGACACGTAAGTAGTTAGTGGGTAAATATGAAACTGCAGCTTCTACAGAAAAGACACGCATTTAGCTATATTCATATACCATCCTTAGCCGTAAGCCCACCATTCACCGGGATTGGCAATAGAGTAATTGTCAAGAGCCACTAAGCGTCCTGCCAATGTCCAGATAAGAATACTTGCCAGCCCCTCTTGCAAGTAAGCTGTAACACCCCGTAAATTCGGCTTAGGTATGAATGAGTTAAAGGAGTATTAAGGTTACATTTTGGACATGTGAAATCCCATCGGGATGATTATGGGTAAAATAGTTGTTTCAAAATCAAGATAAAAAGTGAGGTGCATAAGATTTGACAAAATCGACTATGTTTGCTGAAGGTCTATCTTCCAGCAGGGTTTTGTGAAAATGTGTAAGGAATTTAGAAAACTCAAAGCATGAAAGTTGTAGACCTTTGAAATAGCTTTCCAACATTATGGGGCCCGAACAGATCTCTGTGCAAAACGTTATGCGTTCACAGAACAGTAAGCGATATGCGCGCCCTGTAGCGCGCCCCTAGCGCGACCGCGCTAATTTTGAGGCAGTGTTACTGCCGTTGTGCGCGGTCAGTAGCGCGGTCAGGTCTCCAGGAGCGCGGGTGCGCTCGTGGGGGGTCGTTTTAGAGCCATATTTCGTCCCCCACAGCCCCAAAACATAAAAACTTGCTCTAGAAAGGGGAACTCTCAAAAACCTAACTTCTTAAGGGTCCTTCCACCACCCAAGGTAAGTTCTAATGGTGATTCTAAGTTAATTTCAATTTCCCAACATCTTATTAACATGAGTAAACCCTCTATATCATTAGATATTCGATTGGGACATTATTGTTGAGAGAAGGAAGCCTAGCACTCAAATTCAAAGGGTTTGAACGTCAAGAAGATAATATCTTCACCCTCTAATTGATTATAGCGTTGGATTAATGATTGTAGACTACAAGTTCATGAGATATGAGTTGATGGGTTTGATAGAAAAGCATGAACAATTATAGGTTTGGCTTGTTGATTGTTGATTATTGATTAAGGGTGTTGTTTACCTTATGGGTGATAAAGAATAATGTTGATTATAACCATTTGAGACTTTAGAATTATCTAGGAGCAAGAGAATGGGTTATTGGGTGTAGAGACACCATTAATAAGGACTATGAAGCTTTATGTCACCAAGTGTTTGAGAAAATGCTTATGTGACTAAAACATGAGAATTATTGCTAATATGGAATTCCTTTGACTTGTATTGATATAGATTAAAGTTGAAAGGGTTGGCGAACATTGTATTACGCTCAAGAGCAGGAAGTTAAGGTATGTGAGTCTAACTCTCTATGTTTGGGAATTTTAATGATTCTCCCTACACTACGTTTCTTTTAAGACGTTACCAATTGCCTCAGAAATATAGTTAAGCCTAGTTCCTTGAATAGTTGTAGAACTTCTATTTTCTAGCTTCATAACTCGTTCACCACTTTCATTCTGAACGTTGTGAGCTCAGTGCATATTCAATATAGACTTGGGTTTGATGCCCCCGAGTCTTAGTATAGATTACTCAGTATGCCATAAACAGTTGAAGTTTCAGTGTTCATAATCAGTCAAGAATACATGTCTCAATTTATTCCTATTCAGTATTCCAGTATTATGTAACTCAGTGTGATTCAGTATTTCACTATCATGTATTGCAGTTTGATTCTCAGTTCCTGAATGTTGAACACCTGTATTTGGCCCTGAGGCCATAGTTTATATGCTTTATGCATACTTGGGCCTAAGGTCGTAGTTTATATGCTTTATGCATACTTGGGCCTGAGGCTGTAGTTTATGCTTTATGCATATTTGGTCCTGAGGCCGTAGTTTATGCTTTATGCATTTTGGGCCTGAGGCCGTAGTTATGTATACGTATACTTGGGCCTGAGGCCGTAGCTTGTGCACATTTATATTGGGCCCGAGGCCGTAGCTTATTCAGATAAACAGGTTGTTCATCATTCAGAAGAGGGAGTATTCATATCCTTACTTCCTTTGTTCAGTTCTGTTATCAGTTATCATTTCAGTTATCAGTTATCAGTTATCACTTCAGTTATCAGTTATCGGTTATCACTTCAGTTATCAGTTATCATTTCAGTTATCAGTTATCAGTTATCAGTTATCACTTCAGTTATCAGTTATCCGTTATCATTTCAGTTCAGTTTTGATAGTTATCATTTCAGTTATTAATTATCAATTCTCATTTATCAGCTCAGTTTCAGTTTTAGCATTTATAATTCTTTCTTTCAGTTGCTTTACATACCATTGCAATTCAAATGTACTGAGGTCCCTTTTTCCCGGGGCCTGCATCTCACGATGCAGGTAATGATTTACAGGTTGATGATTCAGAGTGCTAGGATACCAGCTGTTTGGTGATCCCCAGTTCTTTCGGGGCATTATCATTACTTTATGGTCTTTCAGTATTTACAGACAGTCAGTGTTTTTAGTACTTCACTAGAGGCTTCATAGACTAGAGTAACAGTTAGACAGAGTCTCAGGCTTTTCATGTTAAGCTATGTTGGCTGCAAATATATTTCAGAATTGTATTAGTATTTCCGCACTTTGATTTATATCATCCAAACTTTTATTATATCAGCATGTGTTAGTTTATCTTCCGCATTCAATATGTTATGATATCACATGTTGAGTCAGCCAGCCAGTTGGTTCGCTCGGTCACATGTAGTTAGGCACCGAGTGCCGTATTACGTCCAGGCCCAGGTTCGAGGCGTGACAAAGCTTGGTATCAGAGCACTAGGTTCAAGTGTCCTAGGGAATCTATGAAGCCGTGTCCAGTGGAGTTTCCTTTATATGTGTGTGTCGGCCACTCATATAAACGGTTAACTACCAAGACATCCAGGATTGTCTTATTTCTTTCTACTCTAGATCGTGCCATGAAGCTTAGAGCAATAGTTAACCTTCTCTTCCTATCGAATTCCAAACGTATTGGATGCCCAAGCGACGCGCAGAAGAAACCTAAGGTCCTAGAGAGGATAATTGCCCATTGGGGTATAATTATGGAGTGCAGGTTGGTAAATATGAGACTTGAGAGGACGTTAAAAGTGGGATGCAATGGATAGTAGTACAACTTAAAGCATAACCTTATCAGAAAGTACAAACACAGTTATGATGTCTTATGGTTATCAGCTTACCTCAGTTACCAGTTATACAATCTTTCAGTTAGCAAGTTAATGGTTATCCAGGATGCCAGTTATCGGTTATTCAGTTACCAGATCTCCAATTTTCAGTGTATCAAAATTTTTGGAGACTTGTGAGTATACAGTGATGCATATGGGTGCTCAAAGAAAATGTAAGTAACACTGATTATAGCAAAATCTTCGCATGTTTTAGGGATTAAGACCCAAGACTCACTGGATGGTGCATAAAGTGATTTATCAAATATGTATGGCAGTGTATCTGTACGTCAGACCCCACGGTGTATCAGGGTTGAGAATTCAACCGTAGCGGGCATAGAATTGATCACTATAGTTTTGGACAGAAAAGAGCCTAAGGGTAAAATACCTAGGAGTCAGAAATGTTTGTTATTACCAAATATGTGATTTCGTACAACTCATGCAAATGACTAGAAGATATGATGTATGCAATGAGAACCAAGAACAGCCAATATTTAATTTCAGGGAATGATTTTAAGTTGTTTAGATTTACTCAAATCAGAACTAGAAGTACCACGTTAGTAAGCTACTATAAGAAGCAGCTATTGATGTAAGATAAAAGTTATGGCAGTTCCCCCTTAGGTTATGTGACTAAGTGATTACCGTGGATGTTCATAGTATGATATGATTTTGTATTATATAGAAAGTTTGGGGGTTAGATATTCTAATTTTGTTTAAGACAGATGAATTCCCTGAGTGTGATCCATGCACATAGTTTAGAAGAAAAAAAAAGGGATAGTATGCGACCGTAGAACAGGGCCAGATGGTGAGGGAAGTTAGAATAACCTTATGCCTTAATTTAGTTATCCAAAGTAGAACAAGAAAACGTGATGCTAGCAGGTGTTTAGTAAAAGAATATTAAGTAAGTTTTGAGTTGGTACAGTGAATTAGCACTTTCAGCAGAGCTAGTAGAGGTACAATTTGATTCACTTAGCCAGGTTAACTCTAGTGAGTGGATGACAGTTTAAAATACCGAACGTGTATTAGAACCCAAAGAGTTTAAGTTAAATTTGAAGTATAGTAATAGTGGAAAAAAATAATCAGCTAGCAATAAGAGAGCAAACTCTAGAAGAATAGCCTTTAGGAATTATCGAAATGTGGTTTCTCCAGGATTGACAGTGTGAGCAGAGTTAAATTATTAAGATTGTGTATGATAGTTGTGAATACATTAGCTTTCCGTTAAGTGAATAATTTAGTTTTTCTTAGTAAGGAAGATTGCTCAAAAGTAAGTCGTAAGATGAGTGGTCATTGACGTAAAGTGCAAAGAGTTGCAGAAGATAAGGAAAGTTATTTGGATCCCAACAAAAAGAGAAGGATCCACAAGTATAAGACCTTTAGTCTAAGGGGTAATGTGAAAACCATCAGTAAGTCCAGATGGAGATTTGAAACTCGAATAGTTAGCATGGTATATGAAAAAGAAAATCAGTTCGGTAATGAGGGAAAATTGTATAATTACCACAAGGATTATGTATAGCATGTGTAAGAAATACAAAGTGAGTAGAATGATCACCGAGCTTAGTTATTGATGATAAAGTGATCACGAAAAAGCTATAAAATCATGCCTATTTATGTTCCATGAGGATAGCGTCATTGCACGAAACTCTAGTCTTCGGAGTACTGGTCAAAGACTTGGGTCACAACAATGCTATAAGTGTTTTTAGGAAGTGCTTAAGAAGATAAAGTGTGAGAGTATAACTCATTATTGAGGTAGAAGAACTCTGGTGAAAGAAGCTCACCACTTAGCCAAGATAGCAGTTCGACTTCGAACTCCAAAGATGACGGAGTTGTAGTCTAGAACAGGACGTGTTTCGCATTAGTAGCTGAAGAGAAGGAGAAATAATTTGATGATCCCTACGTGTT